CATCAACATCAAATCGGGAAGGAATCCCGCATTAAGAACCACTCAGTCGGGAAGGATATCCCCGCGAAGAAAGTCAAGCCAGCAAATGAATCCTGCATCAAAACCAGTCGGGAAGGAATCCGGAAGAAATCAGCCGAGAAATGAATTCTGCATCAACATTCAAATCGGGAAGGATCCCGCAATAGTACATCCAGTCGGGAAGGAATCCCGCAAGCAATCACAGCCAGAAATCCGACATCTGCATCCAAAACACCACAGTCGGGAAGGAATCCGCGAAGAAATCAAGCACGAAATGAATTCTGCATCAACATCAAACGGGAAAGGAATCCGCATAGACATCCAGTTCGGGAAGGAATCCGAAGAAATCACCAGCCAGAAATGAATTCTGCAGTCAACATCAAAATCGGCCGAAAGAATCCGCATAGACAATCCCAGTCGGCGAAGAAATCCCGCAAAGCATCAAAGCCGGGAAGCAAAATTCCCGCAAAGACATCAAGCCGGGAAGAAATCCCAGCAAGACATCAAAGCCGGGAAGAAATCCCCGCAAGACATCAAGCCGGGAAAGCAATCCCGCGGAGAAACATCAATCGGGAAGGAATCCGAGAAATCCAAATTGGAAATGAATTCCACAATCACATCTAAGCTCGGCAATTGAATTTTTGAACTCAACAGCAACGTCGGAAATACCAATTTCGGCACCAAGACGGCAAAAGGAAATGTCCGCACTAACATCAAGCGGACGAGAAATTTCCGCATCAGCCGAGCACCGAAGTTCGCCATCCTGGAACGGAAACTACGAAAGACCTGATTCTCCCATTCCCGAAAAGATCTTGGAGATACGTAGCGGCAAGACCACAAAAGGCCCGGTCACAAACATAAGTTTGCATCAATAAATACATTCTTCTCTTTGCCAACATAAATCATGCATTTGGGATCCAATCTTCATTTAAAAAAAAAAAAAAAAAAAAAAAACAACGGCGGGGTTTTCCTCCTCTGTCCCATCTCAAAATTTGCGTTTCGGATAACCACCGCTCCATAATCACTTTTTATGAGTCGATCGGGTGGGGGGCAACTGTGCAAATCAATTTTTGAGGCCTCAAAAAGCCTATTGGTTGACTTTGCTACACGTAATTCTGATGTGCTACCATGAATTTGCTAACAGCCAAATTTAATTGTCGCCACAAGGAATCAAAGAGCCAATTTTTTCCGGACTGCAAACAGTCCGCGCCGGACCCGGAGGCCATTTCGGAAGTCTCACCGAAGAATCATATCAATATGGTATACTTGAAACGTCCCGGAATTTTACGAGGATCGCGACAGGTCCCCGGAATATTTTTCGGAGGTCCCGAAACTCCCAAAACAGTCCCGAAGCGACAACACGGTAGGCCCGCACCCGGCCACGCGGCGCCAGCCCCCACCAAGCGCGGGCGCAGCCCCTCGCCCGTCGGGCCGGGGGCTTGCGCGGCAGCGCCGGGCGAGAACCCTCGCCCAGCGTGGGCGGGACCCTCGCCAGCGCGGGCGAGGCCCCTCCGCACCGCGCGGGCGAAACCTCTCGCCTCGCGCGCGGCGAGGCCCTCCGCGACCGCGCGCGGCGGGACTCTCGCCCGCCGCGGGCGAGAACCTCCCGCACCGTCGCGAGGGGCGGAGGCCCTTCTTCCGCCCCGCGCGGGCGAGGCCTCCCGCGCGCGCGACGGGCGAGGCCTCATCGCCCCGCGCGCAGACGGCCCTGGCCCCTCCCCTCGCGCCCTGGGCGTAGGCCCTGCCGCCAGCACACCCGCGCGAGGGCCTCTCGCCCTGCGCGGGCGGGCTGTCGCCCCGACCAGGGCGCGTACTAACCAGGCCCGAGCCCTGGCGGCAGCTACCAGCCCCAGATTTTCTGGCGTGGCTAACCGCCATGCACGGCGGCAGCCCACCGCCCGGGCACCCGACAAAATGGGCCCTAATAATAGGACCATTTTCAAGGCTGTTTTTGTACACCTGTCGTCTTTGACGGACAGATCTTCTCCGCTCTCACCCGCTCCTTGCGCTTTATCTTTAAACCGCTTTTTTTTGCATTTAATTTAATTTTTTTATTGCATTTTAGTTGTGATATTTGACCATTAAAATAAACAAATTAAAATTAATTAATATTTCCCTAAGCGAGGAGCTTAATAACGGGAAGTTAAGAAGTGGTGGTCGATTAAAATCAAGTGTATGTACAGAAACAAAACTTGCCTATTTAATGTTAGCACTTCATGCATATTTTCCTATTCTAACTCTTAATCAATTCTAACCAATTGGCATAATTTGGCAATCACGTCATTCATTTTCTTTTAAGTAATACTGCTTTAATTAAAAACAAACATGATCTAGCCTTAACGGCCCGAATATTCAATAAGTTGTTGGTAGATTTAAGCTTAATCCGAAGAATATTGGCCTAAAACCAACCTAAGTAATTAATAACTTACGGTTCAAACTGCCTTATTTCGAACAAATCCGGCTTAAGTCCAATTAATCAATAATTGTGGACTAAAAGCCTAAATTAACTTTCTTTTTGGCAAAAATGCCTACAAATCACCTTTTTCGGGGCTAAAAGTGTAAACACCCGAACCATTTTTTGGCGAAACGCTTAAAATCATCTCTTTTCGAACCCTACAAGTCGTAGAAATTGAACCATTTTCGGCGGCCCCGAAGCCTTAAAATCACTCATTTTGGCGACAATCGCCTAAAATCATCATTTTTGGCAATCTAATTGCCCTAAAATAATTTTGGGCAACAATGCCTTAAAAATCAATCTTTTAAGCGACAAATCGTTTAAATCGCAAACATTTTGGCACCAACATGCCCTTAAACCCGACATTTTTGGCAAAATGCCTCAAACAAAATGCACCAACAGCATCACACACCCACTCATGCACAAAGCATACACCACTGATGCAACCAAACGCCATACAAAATCAATGCACAAACAGCATCACACACTCAATCGCACAAAGCACCCTACACACTCATCCCGCACAAAGCATACACACTCATGCACAAAGCATACACACCTCATCACTTAAGCATACCCACTTCAAAGCCCTTCAAAGAAGGCCTATCGAACTCGTCTGACTTCTGCATCTTTTCCATTCAAACGGAAGTACGTAAGGCACGTTCGGAGAATTTCAACCCGGGTGGGCAAGTCGAAAATCAATTCGAAAATCATCCGAAATCATCAAAAATCACATCAAACTTTCATTAATCCATCACTTACCTTGCAAAGCATTCATTTCATCGTTTAGTTTATCAGCATGACATAGTCCTTCGTGGATCCAATCTCGGGTTCGCAGACTTGTGCTTAACATTGGGAAATAATTCAATCTAGTAACTTAGGTTACATTAAAAATGGAGTCCACTTAGGGTTTTTTCCTAGTTTTATTAACCCCTAAAATATTAACAAGGTGGCGACCTCACACCACATCACGTGTATTGTGTCTTTCTCATTCATCATATGCATCAACACTGCCCTATACTGACATTTGGGGGAAGGGGTTCACAGTAATATCATCAGTAAAACAAGGTGGCGACTCACACACATCACGTGTATTTCTTCTCATTCATCATATGCATCACATGCCTATATGACATTTGGGGAAGGGGTTCACAGTAATATCATCAAGTACTTCTGGTGTGTCAACTAAATGTTCCACATAAATATGGACATCATCATTATGTTCATATCCAGCTTGCAAAATCTTCTGTACACTATCATCATTCCATAACAATATTAGACCTTCTCTTACTGATTTTCCCCTTGGCAACCAGTATATTTGTGCACTGCCCCCATAACCACACAGATTAACCAAATTGCAAAGTCCTTTGAAATTGATGAAATCAATATCATTGATATTGGAAGTATCAATATCACCACCAATTTATCTTGACCTTCTGTTTCTTGTGATATCGAACCACTGTGGTGAAGCTTGATAAAGACATTGACTGGATTTGGAGTTCCCATTCTGTCAATAAAATGTCATACAAAATCAAGCTGGTATCCGAAAATCATGAATATTAAAGCTTTATAAAATATAAAACAGTTACAATCAAGCACTTTTGTATTCTAATAATATAATATACATTTAGTAACAATACAAAGTATGGGCTATAGTGTATGAGACATAAAACAATTCAATGAAACAATGTCGATCACACCAGAAACAATTTTGTTGAGTTCTTTCAGTTAGCAAAGAAACAAAGAAACGTTTTTCCTGAGTTACTTTTAGTTAACGAAGAAACAAAGACACAGAAATTACTTACCTTCAATATTGAGAAGAATGAGACAGTCACTGTCAATTACGGTTTTACTTCTGAATATCAAAGAAAAATTTATTTTTTCCCCAATTTGATTTTCACCTCAATTGAAAGCTCCTTTGTTGCTCTGCATGTGCAAACTTCATATTACAAAAGGAGGTAGCTTGGCTTATTTTTCCCTCCTAACTATGATATTTGGTAATTGAATCCTTGGTGTAGATATTCAGCTTTGAATTTGTTCTCTCAATTTCTTTGGATTTGATTATATTACACGCCCGTTGACCAGCTGAAGGTCTGAACTATTTGGCTGTAATACGCTAACTAATGGAGAAATTTGGCTTCAAAGTTAAAATATGGGTCAATTAATTTTGGGGACCAAGTTGAAGGGCCAAAATGATCATTTTTCTTAACTAAAATCCTAAGAGACGACGTGAAGGCAAAGAAACACCTAAGTACCTAAATAAGGCTGAATCCCTATCACCAATATAGTAGGGCTCTAAGAAAGTTTACCAGTGCCAAAAATGCATAAGCATTAGAGGCGAGCCTTGGCAAACTATATGATAGCACAACTAAAAGTCATATCACAACTAAATAACATGATGTTAACACTGACAAAAAGGCAAGCAAAAATACAACACAGCGCACGCCACAACAAATGATACCAGAGAAACGAGCAGCAAACTTCTTATATATATATATATATATATATCTTAGAATATTGCAATGATTATACCGGACTTACCTACACCGAGTTATTGACAGTGATTCTCAAATATCCCAGAACAGAATGTGATATGATGAGATAGAATGCAATAGAAAGAAAGACACAGGGAACAGGTAAATTCTCTTAAAGCGAACCCTTTCATTCCGAATTAAAGAAAAGAAAAAGTTACTCCACTGGATCCTCAACCCCGTGCACAAGTGTGGATGGCTCAACTTCAAATCCTGGCAGGTCAGTACAATAGCCTCAGACACGTTCTGCACCACGGGTCCCCTTCAACTGAACCTTGCGCAACCTCCCCTTGGGCATCCACCTTTGCAGCCACTTCCTCTTCATCATCCAAATGCTGATATACATCGATCTGGTTAACGAAAACCAATCCTCTTCGGGAAACTGCAATTTGAGCTCAGCCAGGATCAGATCAGATTGAAGAATCAACATGTCATTCACAGATCGAGTGGCCTCAGTAGCAGCATCCTCTGCTCGGGCAAAATCCACCTGAAGTTGGTGAATGACCGCAGCATCCTCCTCCTTTTGCTTGACCAACAGTTCCACTCGAGAACTAAGCTTGAGAGAAGAGTCAAGTTGCACATCCATAATAGCTCGGATCATATCCTCCAATTCGCCCACAAACGAATGTGCTCTATCATTTGGGACTGAATGGAATTCTCCAACTTCTCAAACTTAGCTTTCTCTGCCTTCAAGAGTGACCAACTCCCCTGACTCCCTCATTCGCTGGTGAGTATCATTGTGAGCACTCACCAGCCGAAACATGTAAAGGTAAGAAGAATTACACATAAAAAAAAGGGAGAGAGAAGGGAAGAAACACAAAAGACCAAAGAAAAATAGACATACCATAATAAGAAGACAGCTATCAATCTGGTCTAGGAATGACTCCTCGCCCAAACCTTCTAAACGAGCCAAGTTTGTAAGGAGAACGCACTAACTAGCTAATGCCCAAGCTACCTCCCCGACCATTACTGAAGCATCTTTTCCATGCTTCCTCCTCACGGTGGTTCGCAGTTCTAAGCCCTTCTCCGAGATGGGAGAATGAGGTTCATCATCACCTCCTTGCTGTCGTTTTCCTCTTCTCTTAGGCTTGATAGTTTTCGGACCGATAGGAAGATATGCTAGGGGATCAGAGATAGCTACATGGGGGATATCAGCAGAAGATGGCATGACTACTAAAGTGCGCACAGGAGATGCTATAGCTCCAGAATGCCTCAAAGCAGTTTGAGGGGCACTTGAGCTTCCTCTAGGAGTCTGGCCAGACCGATTGGCCAACCTCTGATCCCGATCCACCGATAGGCGACTCTTCATCTCTTTCTATAACTTTGGGGCTATACCTACAAGAAAAAGCAAAATTAAAAAAATAGTCAGTCGTAGAAGAAGAAAAAGCCTAGAAAAGATAACTCACCCCCAGTCTCTCGTGCCCCCCTTTTTCTTGAGGCCCGAGCCCTAGGACCCAATGGGATGTTTGCATCCAACAAAGGAAAGAGAGGAGGAGGGTTGCAAGCATAGCGTCTTAGGATCTTGATCTGCCAAGACTCAACATCACTAAAAATTCGAGGACGCCTCAACGCAGGAGGAGTTGACCTCAATGAGAAGGGTATCCAAACCCTTGAGGACAACTGATAAGGAAGTACTTCTCTTTCCACCTCCCTTTAAGTGATGAGCTCTTCAAAGGGAAAAGATTATAATTTTCCGAGCAGTGAGATGGGGATGGTCTTGGATTCCCCACTAAACAAAATTGAACATGTTGTGCAGCTGGTGCACATTAAGCTCAAAACCTTCCTGCTCAGCCACAATAGCAGCCCCTAAAATCATCTGATTACTATTAGGAGCAATCTGACCGATGGTCACTCCCCACTCGTTACAGAACTCGGAGAGAATTCGTTGAAGATGAAAGCATACACCCGCTCGGCAATCCTCAGCATATGCAATTAGAGTTTTTTGGTCAAGGCTAGCATTTGCTCTCATCTCGGAAGGAGAAATCCTAATTCGATATTCTTCAAGGAAGGGGTAATGAGCACGAATACCTGCCAAATCGTGCTCGGATAATATGGAACTTAGATCTTGCAACCTCACATTTTCTTGGCAGGGGCAAGCAGTAGAGTTCGCTTGGCGGGGGTGAGTAGAAGCACTTGTCGCGGATGGGCAATTGCAGCCCTCGTCCTCCTTGGCTCAGGAGACTGCTTGGGCATAGTTTCATCGTGTAGCTGTAGAATAGAAAAGCCAGACCTAGAATGAGCAGCAGAGGATTCACCCTGATTACTGGAATTAACAGTTCCTTGTAACCTCCTTCGAATGAAACTGGCTTCATCCTCAAAGTCGGACTCAGAACCAACCCCCGGAATACAGTTATCATCCTCGTATTCCATCCGGTCATCCTCATGGTTCAGTGACCTTGCCATTAGACTGACGACTAGAACTCATAGTGAAAAGAGATGAAAACAAAAAAACAGTTGGGCAACTCTCAAAAATCAACATGAAGATTACCTGAAACATACAGTTAAGCAAAGACAGACACAAAGTAGATGTTTTCAAATAGGAAGCAAATGACGTAAAACCTCCAAAATGCTGATAGCAACTCCTTTATATAGTAGGAGAAAATCCCACAAACCGTCGCCAGAACTGAAACGCCATAGCAAATGAAGAGTTACCTTTTTGAAATTCAAAAGCGTAAAACCGCCATGAAGATGATGGTTATGCCACATAACTACTACCCATGGGCCCTTGAACTAAGTGGAACGGATTTAGGCCCAAAATTCTTCTTTCCTTAAGGAATAAAAGCCCACACTTTAACAAGTGTGATCGGCCCCTGGACACCGAACAACGCTTGGAGTTAAATCCTCACATTGGTATCGCTCGAACATCACCTTTTTTTCCAAGTTTAAAGCCAAAGAGACAAAATGCAGACCTGCTTTAGACTTGCAACATAAATGTCAAATATTCCGTGCGAGGAGACATGTGATAAGCACCCATGTTGACAAACACCAGAAGATCATGTAACAAATTCAACATAACAGAAATGAGATATTGGCGTGATATTAGGAGATAAGTGTCCGGATATCTCTCTCTTGTGTTTGCATAACTTACCTAATGTCCATATCATGTATATTAGTCATGTATATTAGGGAAAGCTTCCCCCATTAAGCAGGTTAATGCCAATTAAAACAATCTAATACGACTTGAATACAATCACTCGCTTGACTATCACAATTCTATAATTATCACAAATGAATCATAAAGTTTTATGAAATTCATTTATTTCAAATAAGGATTATTCTTATAGTGTTTTAGTGATTTTTTATTTCATTTTTTTTTATCATTTTTATCAAATAAATGAATAGAATTAATTCTTATTGCAAGCTGTCCCCTTTCCAATTTCGTATAACATCATTATCCCGCACACTAAAAGTAGCGCACCTGTTTGCCATGATGTAAGAGACACTTGGTTGTTGAACTGGTCACCACAAATATGAGCCTAGCTAATGTTCACAGTTTATGATGACATTATACAATTATACTTTTCCTTCCCTTCAAATTGAGAAAAGAAAATTAGCTAGCGAAATTTTTTTAAAATTTCTCTTTTAAAGAATGTGAATATTTTTTCTTTTGATCTTTTTTAAATTTTAAACTTATTTAACCCGTTTAACATAAAAATTTGAGATTGTCGGTAAGTGCTTTCTCATAAATTGAGCACCTAACCTCATAAAAATCTTCTCTAGAGCCACTTTCTATGATATTTATTATAAATATTTGATAGCACTATTAAAATGTTGTTAACCTTTGATAACATCATTAATAAATTTATTATTTTCTTTCATATTTGCATGAGGTGTTTAGGCTGATGTCCATTGTGTTTAAGTCTGTGTCCATTTTAACAGTCCATGTGTAAACTTAACTAATCTATGCTCGCCCTTGGAAGCAAAAAGCCGAGGCCCATGGAATTTGTATTGCAGAGGATCAAACTCATAACCTAAATTATGGTAATCAATTCCCACAGATACTCTTTGTTATTGAACAACCCTAGTTATTTTTAACTATAAGTATGAAATGATATTAAAATAATTTGTCAATTCAGTAACTATTTAACGGTGTTTCAACGATTGGATTTTTTATTAAAAATATGTAAAACGTTTGAGATCTTTACTGTGAGGCTTCTTATCTAAAGACTTTGAAGTGGTCAAAAAAAGTTAGGAAAACGTTACGGTTATTTTGACGTAATACATTGCTGATTAGGCCACATTTAAAATGAAACTTCAAAGGAACACGCTTATCCATCATGCAAGGTTGGAGTTATTAGGGTAAACAACAATTTGATCCCTAAATTATGTTCGAATCAACATTTAAAGTCCTCTATATTCAATAAATAATTATGATATCTTTAACTTATATTTTATCTCATTATCGGGTCCTTCCGTCCACAAAGTGAGCATATCCTATCCAAAAAGTGAATATATTCCATACAAAAAATATGTCTAACTAATAATAAGGAGTTCACTTTTTGGATGAAAAGACCTAATAATAAGATAAAAACATAAATTAGAAACGTTATAGTTATTTCTCAAATAAAAAGGACTTAGTGTTAATTCCAACGTAATCTACAGACTTAATTATATTGTACCCTAGTTATTATTGTGGGAAGGGCTTACATGCTAAATGGCCTATCCATACACCAAATCCAATCAAAAATAAGTTTTCCATTAAACAAGAGTATTTTGACCATCCATTTATTATCAATTTATACAGGGAAATCTTATCCTATTATTATTATTTTATTATCACAAGTATATTCATAACTTTTGGACATAAGACAATTTTCATCTTAGAATTCATGGTTATTCTCCCTCATAAGTAATTAGATCGAATCTCGATCCCCTAAAGCCCATCGTTAGTAAAATAACTTTTTTCATAAGCAGTTCTATTCTTATCACTATTGATTAGTTGTTTTCATTTATAAAATAACCATTGATAAGAGAATCCAAGTTATAGAATGTTGATTATTTTAAAAACACACCACTATTATACTACAACATGAAATTACAAGATAATGCAAATGAAAATATAGGTTCTCTTCTACTATAATTTAGTCAACTGTAAGGATCTATTAGGGCTGACAACTCTGTACCAATTCACAGTTGTAGGAATTCTGAGTTCCCAGTTCATGATCCCATTTAGACACAGTCACTTGGTGGTCAACCCATAACCCTCTTAATATTATCAAGCCTCACGCACATTCCCCAAAGCACAAAAACGACCTGAATCACGCCGCCAAAGACTGTTATGGACTCGTATTGCAAGAGAGTTATTCACTCCTATTCGGAACCTAACAACATTCATGAGCTAAAATCCAATTCCCCACGATCTAGAGGTAACATGGCCACTTGTTATTGGGATTTTCTGAAAGCAGAGCACTTTAGTTTTCCTATCATAATTCTATATCCTATAGAGTATTGAATGTACTACTTCATTAATAATTCTTAGAGTCAATTCCAGTACCTGGTATTTTCTAAAAAAGTGGGCCGGCGTTGTCTTCACACCGATAGGAGAAATTCTTTATATAAATTATCTCTAAAAATACCACCGATATCTCTATGAGGTGAAACTTTCACATGGGTGTTATCGTAGAATGGAATGTCGTTAATCTTAACTAGTGAGAGACTCCTCTATGAAGGGATGAGTCAGTAAAAAGTTAGAAATCTCTACGTTACGCTCGTTTTGCTTATTCTTGCACGTATAATACACCACCTAGCGCCTGAATTAGAGGAAATCCGCTGACATATAACATATTATAGAAACTTTACCAAAAGGATACGAAACGGCTCTTCCTCTATTCTTTCCCTACCATGCACACAGGTTGGAGCTTAGTTAGTATAGGACACTGTTATTATACTCCAAGGAGTCTATTATCGAGTTAATTGGAATCTCTCCTAGAAATGATGATTCGCACTCTATGGCTATCCAGACAATCTTAAAGTCTTCTATAATTGAACAAGGATCTAGATAACATTATCGCTTATTACCCTACTCTTTTAACTTCCATAAATAATATGGTCACATCTATACCATCGGTGTTGCTTGTCGCGCTATGGCGGCTGCGTCCACCAAAGCTCGAGCCAAGGTCTATCCCTAACTCACAGAGAAGTCGGAAGAGTCATCTCGGACCAATATCCATTAAAAATTAATGTTCTACACATTAAACAAGAAGGAAGTACAATCACACCACATTATAGTCAATTGAAGATGAAGTAATAAGCTTACACCCTGAGATGACATTATTATAAGATATAAAACATAAAATGAAAGAAATCAGTTATAAATCCGGTAATATTACGTGGCTCTTACAACAATCAATAGCAAAGGACTCTGAGTGGTGTAAACTTCCCATAACGTAACACTCATTAAATCAGCAGACTTAATACGTAAAAGTCTCTATCGGGTTCAGTAAAAGCATTACTAGTATTATTATTGTGAGGAGAAGAGAGATATACATGACCACATAATATTAGGCTCGAGTCTCGTGAATTCCTTACAAGCCCATTACAAATCCAGAGTACATAGGAGTATAAATTAGCTCCTCACTATTACACCAGTAAACACCCATAAAGAGAAATCTGAGACCACAAATCACCCACTCATTGATTAATAAAACTCCCTAGATAAAACCCAGCAGGAAAAATCATTAAATCCCACCACTATATTAATATATGTAAATTGATTAATTTGTATTACAGCTCATCACTTATTTATTTCTTTTGTGATTACCCACCAATACATAAAATCCAAAAAACGGGCCACAATTTCATATACAACTATATATTATGCGACTAGAAAACGAAGACACAATTCTGATCATGCTCTCAGTAATCTCATCCTGAATATTGCCATACCCTCCAAGAACATTAATACCAGTCAAGATATCGATCGATCTCAACTACGATAGACTATGCTCTAACCTAATGTGTAGCGTGCAAGAGGCTAACTACAAAAATGATTTAAACTCACATTACCAAAAAGTTAAATTGCACTTAGAATATATATTTCTCTATCTCATTATATCATTAATCATATAAGTCTCCATTGTGATATTTCATTTTTCTGAAGCTGTCAATTCATACCGTTTGAGAATAACCACGCACCGTTGTAAGCGCTCGCTGCCCATGGTTGTTAGGATAGATAAGATCATCAGCCTCTATCCATACGAGAAAAGTCTATATGTATGGAGGTTACGTATTAAATATTGATAGAATATTGTAATACCAGTGAAGGCACACATCAGTACTAGCCAGAAGTAACACACTCATGTTCAACTAATAAGGTAAGGAAAGCGTTCTTAGAATTGGCTTCATGGCTTCAATATTCACTATATAAAAATCAATCACAATGAATGAAACAGAACATGAAATTGAATACAACGAAACTCTACCAGTATGAACTTACAGGGCCAACCTGAGACACATAGAAACGATTGAAAGAAGGAGCCAAGCCTTATTTGTGATCAAGTTCACGATACATGGATGTAGCATTGAAAGAAAGGAGAAGATAGACTTATTGATGTCAGTGGAGGTAATTATGCGGTTCATTCGCCTTCTTGAATCACTTGCTGGTATCCAAT